TGATTACTATAAAAGCAGCTGCTCTCGGCTAGAAATTCATTTCTGCTTCAAAAATGCAGTTTATTGTAGACGTTCAAGGTTTTAAAAAAACCAACAACGAGTTTGTCTTTAAAGAGTTGGCGATACTTCGACCAATTCTACAAGATATACTTCGAAGTGCAAGTGTAATTTACGTTAAAGGTTTAGAAAAAAAGAATTAGCTAGAAAAATATTTACTCAACGTACAAAACTTGGAAGATTTTAATTGTCCATCTTTGAAAAAAATCAAGTCTGATTTGTTAACGACGTGTACGCATCATACTTTTTGTAGTGAAAATTGTGCTGTAAAAATGTTAAAATTCTACGCGATTGGTTTTTGGAACCTCCAAACCAATAAATAAGTGCTATTTCTAATGGAATTGATGAAGTTGACTCTACTTTAAAATCTTTTTATGAAAATTGATTTCTGAAAATAAAACTTATTCTAATTCTTAAAAATAACTTATACTAAGAGAAGGAAAGTAAATTTAAAACCAATTTATAGGTAAAACTTTGTGTGTTTATTTTATCAAAATTTTTTAAAATATATATATACATTTTCTTTTTACAATTTATTCTAACAATTTAAATTCAAAAATATTATATGGTCCTTCAAGATACTTCATTTGAAGTTTCTTCGATATCGCAGCTTCTTTCATCATGCCCATGGTGGTTGGTTCATCCTCAAAGAGCTTGATGAATCTTGTTGGTAAGTATGTGACGAAATCAGCATCAATTTCGACAATCATCCTTGGTTCATATTTGGTCTGGACCTTCTTTATCTTTGAGACGTAGTACAATCCATCTTTCATCAATTCCGCAAGCGACTTCGTCGGCAGGTAACCTTCAAAACGCCCAACGGAGTTGACTTTTTCTAGATCCATTTTTTTTAGCTGTAAGAAAACCTTAAACAAAAGAAGAGAAAACAAAGAAATTATTATTTTTTAAAACTAACTTAGAAAAAGAAACTTTGAAAATATAGCTGAAAAATGAAACTTAGAAAATAAAACTGAAAAAAAAGGAACTTAGAAAAATGTAGCTGAAAAAAAGGAACTTAGAAAAATGTAGCTGAAAAAGAAACTTAGAAAAATGTAGCTGAAAAAGAAACTTAGAAAATAAAGCTGAAAAAAGGAACTTAAAAAAATGTATCTGAAAAAGAAACTTAGAAAATAAAGCTGAAAAAAAGGAACTTAGAAAAATGTAGCTGAAAAAGAAACTTAGAAAATAAAGCTGAAAAAAGGAACTTAGAAAAATGTAGCTGAAAAAGAAACTTAGAAAATAAAGCTGAAAAAAAGGAACTTAGAAAAATGTAGCTGAAAAAGAAACTTAGAAAATAAAGCTGAAAAAAAGGAACTTAGAAAATAGATTAATGTTTATACTTACTGCTAATTCAAGAACCTGAAATAATAATGACTTGGTGGCTTTGAAACTCGCCTTATATTGCTGCAATCCCCACTCTTTCTCTAACCCCACTACACTTTCGAATGCGCACGCAAATTATCCCCACCTTAATATGCGCTTACACCATGCGCGCTAAAATTTAAGAAAAATAAAATTAATGCTTTAATTTAAAAAATATTTCTTTTCATTTAAAATAAAATTTAATAATTTTTAGGATAAGGGAGCGTTCACAAATTACGTAACGCTAATTTTTGAAAATTTTGACCCCCTTCCCCCATGTAACACACTGTTACATACATTAGCGCCATTTTTTCTGCTGTACATAACAAATAGCTAGACCCCCCCTCCCCTTTATAATGTTACGTAATTTGTGAACGCTCCCTAATCTTCCATATACTCCGACATCTAAAAAATTAAAAATATGGTTATAGTTAATTTAAATGAAAGTAATATTTTTTTTAAGTTAATTTAAAATAGAATAAAAACTATCAACTAACTTCTTCTGGATCGATGTCTATTATTAAAACGTCGTGGTCGTCGTCGTCATCATCGCTAATGATGATTGTCTCCCCCACACTGTCGTATCCGTCATCGTCATCGTCATCGTCGTCGTCATCCTCATAATTGTTATGGGCATACTCATCATAAATGATGATCATGGATGCATCATCGACATGATCATCATCATCGTCAACATCATCATTCTCATCATGACTACTATCATCAAAAATAGTAATTTCATTTTCTTCCTCTAGCTGATTTTGGCAATTGGATGGAGGATTATATGGATTCATTATTATTTTTTTCTAAAAGAAAAGAAAAGAAATTCTTTTTTAATAATGAATAAAATTAATTTTAGAAATAAAAAATTAAAATAAACAGAAAAAAAGATCTGTAAGAGTGAGAGAGAAACAAGATCTATACGAGAAAGAGAGAATAAAGACCTATAAGAGAGTAAGAGAAAAAAGATGTGTAAGAGAGAGAAAGAGAGAATAAAGAATTGAAAGAGAAAGAGAAAAAAGATCTATAAAACAAAGAGAAAGAAAAATGTCCTGTAAGAGAGAAAGAGAAAAAAAGTCCTGTAAGAGAAAGAAAAAATTTAGAGAGAAAGACCTGGTGAAGACAAAAAAATTTTTTAGAGAGAAAGAAAGAAAGACCTGGAGAAGAGAAAGAAAGAAAGACCTAGTGAAGAGAAAGAAAAAAAAACCTAGAGGAAAGAAAGAGAAAAAAGATCTATAAAACAAAGAGAGAAAAATGTCCTGTAAGAGAGAAAGAGAAAAAAAGAACTGTAAGAGAGAAAGAGAAAAAAGATCTATAAGAGAAAGAGAGAGAGAGAAAAAAGTCCTGTAAGAGAAAGAAAAAATTTAGAGAGAGAAAGACCTGGAGGAAAAAAAAGACCTGGAGAAGAGAAGGAAAGAAACAAAAATCTAGTGAAGAGAAAGAAAAGATCTAGAGGAGAGAAAGACCTGGAGGGAAGAGACCTGTAAGGAAGAGAAACCTACGACGATGCAAGCTGAAAGTAGAATGAGCGTGGTGGCTGGCGCACTGCACTCACTCACCGTTGTGATCCCCACCACGGCGCTCTCCCACAACAGCGCTCCCCACTAGGCATCGCTAGTGGAGTGAAAGCAGCATCTCCATGCGGCGATTCTCAGTAACAAGTTTCAATACGCGGGGTTTTTGAATAGTTGAGTATGAAATTTCCTAAATAAAAATTGTTGAATTGTTAAATAAGTGAAAAGTATTGGAGTTGTTTGAAAAAAGGCATCTCCAATATTTCACATTATTTTTCCCATCTGAATGATTGTAATACAGTAATCCTTCAATATGTAAATAATTTTTTTTCCGACTTGTATTAATTCTGTCATAATTAAAATTTACAATTTAATATAATTTCACTGTTCACTATTTTATAATTTTAATAAAATTTTTAATTTCACTAATTTACAATTGAATATAATTTCACTGTTTACTATTTATTAATTTCACAACATGATTTTGAAATAAGCACACGTTGAATGACAATTTATGAAAATAACAACGATAATAACTGAAAGTTTCCTAACTTGAAGTTGTATTTTGAAATTTGAAAAATAAAAAAAAATGTTTGGAAAAACAACTAATATTGGAAAAATAATACTTTGGAAAAAATATCATTTGGAAAAATAATAATTTGGATCCTCCGGAATTGAAACTTTTGTTTTGGAACTTTTGACTCCATACAAAAAAATATTAAAATCAAAGGTGAGAAACAAAAAAATCGTATTAAAACAGTAATGGGAACTGAAATAAAAGAAGAGATATAATTATAAAAATAGAAATTATAAGATCTAAATAAAAATAATGAAAAAAAAGGGAAATAAGAAAACAATTCATAAAACAAAAGTTATAAGTATTTTTAATTATTATTAGAATTACAATTAATAAAATCAATTAATTTTTGGTAATATAAAAAAAACAAGTCCATTATAAAGATCAAATTAATCAAAATCAGAATTGAAATATTTATAATAATTGGGTAAATAAATAATAAATTGAATGTACATTTATTAATTTAGAAATACATATAATTTTTTTATTATTCCAAACTATTTTTACATTTGTTATATACTCTATTTTATAATATTAGCATTTTCTGCTTAAATTAATATATAACAAAAATATTAAGTTTTAAATACCTAAAATTAGGAACAAGTATTAGTTTTAACCAATCTCTTTTTAAGAATTAAACATGTAAATTAAACATTGAAATATGTTAAATATAATATTAAACATTAATATTAATTAAACATTGAATAATGTCACATATTTAAAACAAACATTGAATAATGTCATTATTTTGAGGCACAATGTATGAAAAAAAAATTCAGGAGAAATGACCTGAGAATGTTAATTCATTTTGAAAGAATTGTGAAAAAATAGTATATTACGATACTAGGCCAGAAAGTTGGATTTCCTGGCCGGCGTGATATATAAGGCCGAGGCGAAGCCGAGGTTTTATATCACGCTTGCCAAGGAATCCAAATTTCTGGCCGTGTGTCGTATACAATTTTTCTGTATCCCCAGCCGAAAGTACGTTAAATAATTATGGTTTGAATAATAAAATAACTTAATAAATTGCCCGCCCGACTTTTGCAAAGTCGAGGCGAAGCCGAGTCTTTGCTGGTCGGGGCGTGCATGAAAAAAATTAATGAGTAAGAAATAATTAGAAGTAAAATTTTCTTTTATACAAATAAATATTTAATAATAGTAATATACCTATTTTACGATATTCGGTTCGAAATATTCATCAATTAAGAGTAGTAACCTACTTTACCGATCAAGTGAAATACAAGAAAATAAGAAATTTCATGCATTATTTTGTTTATCTCAAGTTTTTTTCATTATTTTTTTTTCATTATTAAATAAAACTTAAATGAGAAAAAATTTATAACTGACCAAGAGCCACATTCTAAAATGAAAATTAAAAGGTTAGAAAAAAGATTACAACGATGAAAAATCATATTTTTAAACGAAAAAAAAATGAATGCAAAGAAATGAAAACAAGAAATTTTAATATCTCTAAATCATAATTAATATGCTTATTCTTTTTTCTGTTTTTTGTGTTTACTCTTCTCCTTATCACTTAAAGATTGTTTCCTCTTTCCTGTCACCGTCCTCGGTTTATTAGTTGTTCGGTAACATGGATCATTATTAGATTCTGAAGGTTGCAATGACCCTGAAGGTTTGGTTGCATCTGCAGTTTTCGATGACCCTGAAGGTTTGGTTGCATCTGCAGTTTTCGATGACCCTGAAGGTTTGGTTGCATCTGCAGTTACTGATGACCCTGAAGGTTTGGTTGCATCTGCAGTTACTGATGACCTTGATAATTTATCCCCTTCAGAAGATTGTGATGAAGAGCTTGTAGACGTGGATGAATTCGATGATTCAGATGATGTTGATGTAGGTGATGACCGATCTTGGTCAGTTTTCTTTTCTTCTTCAATATTTTTCGGTGTTGGAATGTAAATATCTTCCACGATTGAATTCGATTTCGACTCTGGAATATATGGTTCCATTGGTGCCCATCTTGAGATTCTATGTCGACTGGAGTCTGTTTCTTTCTTATCCTATTAAATAGTAAAAAAAAAATTTTTTAATATGCTTTAAGAGAAATAATTCTATAAATTAAAAAATAATTTCTTTAATATCTTAAACATTTATATTGATTTATCCTTAATTTCTTAATTAGGAATTTAAAAAAAAAATTAAACTAAAATAAAAAGAATATTAATTTACAAATATTAAATAGAACATAGAAACGGTTAAATATGTTAAATGTTTAAGATATTAAAAACAAAATTAAGAAAATTATTATTTGTTTGAGTTTTATTTAAATAATTTGTAAAAAAGCAATAATGACAAATAAAAGAATTATTTGAAATATGATATAAGAAAAATAATTTTTGATAATAAAACAAAAATTATGAATTATGAATTGAATTTTTCGTACTTGTAGAGGTTGAACTGGTTGCACTCGCTGAGGTTGAACCTGTTGCACTCGCTGAGGTTGGACTGGTTGAGGTATCACTTGCTGACGTTGCACTGGTTGATTTTGGTGAAATGGTTGTTGAAACATTTGAGTTGCTTGTGAGAACTCTCGATAAAATGGATTATGTACGAAAGGTGGAAAATTACGCAGTAAATGGTCTACAATTTGCTGCACCTGAAACAAAAAAATATATAATAAGAATATTTGGCTTATATATATAATAAACTGTATGGTTTTAAATATAATAAAGTCTAATTTAATGTAAGGAGTTTATAAAGTGAAAGGAAATTAAATAACAAATTTTAAAATAAATTATTATATAATGGAAAAAAAATTTTTTTAATATATTATTATTATTAGAAAAATACTTACATAAGAATTTATTGATATATATCTGCAAAAGCAGCATCTCCAACAATAGTTGAAATTAACATTTGGATTATTAAAGTTCTGTAAAATAGTTAAACATTACTATAAACAACAATTAAATATAATCAAATGGTGAAATAAAATATTTTATTATTTACACAAGTTGCAAATTTAAACTCTATCAAAGTACAATTCAATGAAAAATGAAAACTTACCATTGTCACATCCATTCAGCTTGACATTCAAACAGAAAAGAAGACTAAAATATTGTATAGCATGGAATAAATGATCATTACTACCAACTTTGATTTTATCACATAGAAATAAAAAATTCCCTGTGACTTTTAGTGTGAAAATTTGAAATGTTAGAACATATTTATTTTTAGTGAAAGACAGTGTAGAACCAATGTTTATGTAGATTCCATACAATATTTACCTATTATTTTCCTAGGATTAAAAACTGATAAGAATAAATAATGAAATATATTGGTATTAATACACTTTGAATAATGAGGTGGAGATTCTGTATGTATATCAGGTATCTAATTTACCCACATTGCTTGTTATCAAAATGTTTCTGTAAAACAAAAAAAAATAAGTTAGGTAAATATAAAAAACTTTTTAAGAGACTTATGAGTTATTTCCAAAAATAACAAGCAGCAGTACTTAAACTTAAACCTAGTCAGTAAAACAGAACCCAATTTAAATTGAAAAAATAAAATTTAAATTTTCCATCGAGAATCTTTAAATAATTTAGTAGAGTCATCTGTCAGAGGTAGTTAAATATAAGTGTTAATAAAGGAGTGAAATTTAAAATAACCCCACTCCAACTTACATGAAACTTTAAAAATAAAAATTTAAATATCCCACCCTAATAAAATGGCGCCGTTTAGTGATGGCAGCCTGCACTAATACTAGAATGGTAAAAGTAGAACACTAACCAACTTTCACTTAGTGGCGCGAAATTTAAAATTATCCCTTCTAACCCACTTGAAAGTTTGAAAATAAAAAATTTAAATTTCCCGCCAAGTGGGTCAGAATTTACATGTGGCGCCATCTCTCGGTGGCAGCCGGAACACAGATGTCGGTAAAACAGAACATTCCTTCTAACCCACTTGAAAATTCAAAAAATAAAAATTTTAATACCCCTCTAAGGGGGTTTAAATTGAGCGGTGGCGCCATCTAGCGGTGGCAGCCGGTACTAAAAACTCGGTCGGTAAAGTAGAACACCCCTTCTAACCCATCTGAAAGTGAGTTATTAGGAAATCTACCTTACCGACGGTCTGTAACTGGGCCAGAACCCGTGTAGCTCTACTACTGTTTTTAATTAAACATTATCATAATTAAGTGATTTACAGGTTTTAATAATTTTTTCTAATAAAAAACATAAAAATTATAAGTCATCTTGGTTATGTCAAAAAGTTTTTAGATTGAAAATTTGTTGTTAATAAATTTGTTTTCTAACATTTAACAGTGACAGGTCAATTTGTGAGGTCTTTAACACACTAAAAAAAAGGTTTTACTTTCAGCCTGTTTTCGAGGCTGAATTTAATGTGTAAACGGAGTCAGCCCCATTAAACAAGGACAAACTTATGTGAAATACATGGGCTGAATTTAAGGTGTAAACGGAGTCAGACTTTTTTTTTCCTGTGAAAATATTAAATTCATGTTTATCTCAACTTTTTTAAAAATGGATTTATCAGCTTTTGAAAATTTGCTCCTCATTTAATACTATTATATATAGTTATTTTATACATTTTTCAAATTTATTTTTATATTTTGTACAATAATAGTTAAGGTTTTAATTACAGTTATTTATTATATTTTAAGGGAAAGTAGGCATTGAAGAATTAAAAAACAAAGTATATTGAAAATTGTTTTAAAAAATTATTTAAATCAAAACTTGTAATTTTCATATAACATGACTAGTTTAATTAACAGATTACTCACATAAAAAATAATCTGTTTCAAATAACCGATTACTTGTCTATTGTCAAATAATTATATTTACTGAAATTAAATAACTTTTATTTAAATCAAAATGATATGGTATTTGCTTTAAATACTGAAATTATAGATTCAAATACAATTCATTTGTTTTGAATAAAATTATTTTAATTCAGTAAATATTTATTTTATAATAGACAAATAGTTATAGTTATTTAAATCAAATATTTTTTTTAATGCATATTCATATCCATATATATATTCATCCATATATATATGGATAAAATTAATGTCAATATGAATGTAATTTAAAAAAATTTATCAATATTATTAATTTTAAGAAAGTATTAAATACATATATATTTCAATCTAAACAAATATTTTATTTACTTCAGTTTTAATATTAAAAAGCTGATTAAATTGAAAAATAAATATATAAGAATTTGAATAATAGTAAAATATACGTGTGCAATTAAATAATTGTAAAGAAAAATTAATTTCAATGACAATTTTTTATACTTTTCATAAAAAAATTGTTGAAATTTATAATTTAGAAATATTGTGAAAAATTAATTTTTCATAAGTTTTAGTAAATAAGTTTAACTTTTTTGTAAATTTTCTACGTAAAGAAATTAATAAAAAATTTATAATCAAAATATATAATATATACATTTATATATATCATATATATATTTATATATATCAATACCAAATATGTTCGCTATATTTTTCCTGTAATCCATTTTTGAAAATACGTATGCATACAAATTCTCATCTTTCTAGGTAAAAAACTGTAAGCGCTAGGGGGGGGTACATGCCTTTTTTTGCGAAAAACGGCCAAAATTTGATGTTTTTCGCGGAAAACTCTATGAAGATTAACTCCAATCACGTTCGTTATATTTTTCGTGCAATCTACGCGTGAAAATACATAAGTGTACCAATTTTCAGCTCTCTAGATGAAAAACTGTAAGCGCTAGGGGCACATACAGGTGTCAAAAGATAGAGGTTCAAACTAAATTATCAACGGGTTTTGAGCGTAAAAAAATTATTGGTTAAGCCATGGGAATACTTTGAATTTTGCTTGGGGTGTCCAGACACCCCAGTTACTCTTTCTAGGGTTAAAAATGAAAAATTTGTTTATAACAAATGTAATTGTTTATGCTAATAAATTTTTTAAGTTTTGAAAGAATGTACATATGATATAAATATTTAAAGTTTAAAAAATGCGGAAAATGTTTACAAATACAAAAGGAACTTGAATATTGTTTATATAATTGTTAATAACAATGATAATTTTTAACTTTAAAATAATTTTTTACTAAATTAAACATAAATTTAAACTTCTCTGCAATAAAATCAATTTTTTTATGAAGAAGGTCCAACATTGTTTGCAACAATTCAAATAAATTGCACTATGCATTATTAATTGTCCGGTGGTCATAATAGACTAATTTAAATTGATTTCGATCATGTGCAATGGAAAAGTAAAAAATAAACTTGATTTTTTCGAAAAATATTGTAATTTGTTAATTTTTTGAGTAACAGGAAAAAAATAAACAACTAAGAATTCAAAAATCGACTTTGATGGATCTCTTAGTAATTTTAGACCAAGAACATCAACATAAGATAAAATTTGTAGTTTTTTGAAAATTTTGTTAAAAAATGTAGAAGTAACTTTAAAATTATCGTTATCAACTTGTATAGCATTAAAAACCGTTTCGATTGACCTATTTTTGAACCTAATCCGATCATAAATTTTGAAATTATTGATGTTTTAAAAACCAAAAATTGTTGAATATGCCATTTTCTCAACATTTTTGTTTGAAAATTTTTGTTTAACTATTAAACTATTATAACTATCTTGTAGGGTATTTAAAAATACATTGATTGACCCAATATTATTTACCTTATTTATAAAAAGTTATTTATATATTTCTACACTGCAAAAAGAAGTATCTTATTTAAGATGTTTTGGTAGTCATTTCTAAGATGTTATGGTAGTCACTTTTTAGTCATTTAAAATATCTTAATTTAAGATGTTAAAAGTATCTTCGTACACATTTTCTGTGTATTTTTGGGGCAAAAAGTTTTGAGGTTAACTATGGGCTTATATATATGTAAGACATTTTATGCATCTTAGTTTTTAGTAACTTAAATTTTTTTCGCATCTTACAATTCACAAGTATCTTATTGCTAAACATCTTATTGAGACAGAAACATCTTAATTTAAGATACTTTAAAAAACTTACAGAAGTATCTTATTTTTTTAAGATAGAAGAAATATCTAAGACGTATAAAACATCTTAAAAATCAGTAAGATACTTTAGAAAACATCTTATTTTAAGATGTAAGATACCATTTTTCCATCTTATATCTTATTTTAAGATATCAAATAAGACACTTATTTTTGCAGTGTATTATTATTATCTCTATGAGGAAGCAAAGTGTTTATAAAATGAGCACCAAAATAATTAAAAAAGTGTACAACTTGGCAGCGGTTTTTAAATCATAATATTTAATTCAATTTTATTGTATAATTTTAACTGTTTAGTCAAAACTTTTAACATTATGTTTTTCTATTGTTCATTATATTAATTGAGTACACCTAATATCTGTTCGTTTAGCAATTCGTCTAGCGATTAAGTATGCTTAATATTTGTTTATTTCTTAGATTTCAATCGTCGCAGAGGAGGAAAAAGAAAAAATATATAATGAGAAAAGAAAATAAGCTGTTAAAAAACAGGGTTGGATACCCCCGAACCAAAAAGGGTACGAATTAGATAATTAGATATACCAGATGGGATACACCTCGTTTTATCGAAATACCGTTGTCCAGCACGGAGACAAATTTGAATAGC